CCCACATTCCATAACCTGAAAGGCGCTTGCACCTAGAGACCTCATAGTTGGGTGCTTGGGCCTCATTTGATTTAGAAAGCTCTAAATCGCCACATCTTGAGTTAACAGCAAGCACACACTGGCGGATGCCTCCAGGGATGTAGGGCTTCCCATCCCAGAGGTTTCAGAATCCTTTCTTGGGCATCCCAATAATGCGGATTACAGTATATTGGGGTCCATTTGGGGGCCGCCTATTTATGGAAACTACCATCTCCCATGCGGGTTGGTTCGTGAGACAACTATGTGCATGACAAATCACTCCTGTTATACGTATTGTTTCCATACACTCTTATGTCGGTAGCTCAAACTTTAGCTACCTGACTTCTGGCACAGCCCTGGTAATGGTATTGACCAACATCATTTCTAGCGATTGCAGTCGGGTTTGTCAGGAACCCTAAACCCTGACCCCTAACTCCTAGCCCTATGTTGATCAGGGTGGGACTTCCATGGTTTAGTGCCTCCGTTTGATTGATTATCACACACAGCTCATGTCCTCTAGATATGAACCCTAAAACACACATACACACACGCATATATATATATATATGTATATGTATAATCCCCCTAACTAGATATATAGAATATGGGGTATATGGGGATCTTATTATAATACCCGAAGCCATATTCTATCTACTTAACGGGGACTTTCTCTCTCTCTCTCTCTCTCTCTCTCTCTCTCTCTCTCTATATTTACATGTACATATATATATATACATAGATATATATCTACGTATATATATATATATGTATGTGTATATATATATATATATGCATGTACCAGAGGCTAAGTTCAGTCGTCAGCTCCGGGCTCCCTTCAGAATGATGCAGTTCGGACTTCAGTCACCCAAACCTGCCCCATGACCAGTTCCATGGTGGGGGAAGACAGGAATATGTAGGGGTTTAAATAACGTTTAGGGCTTAGACTTTAGGGTTTAGGATCCTCTCTCAAACCATATGGGGGGGGGGGGTATGTCAAAACTATTGTTTTTTGGTGGTATAATGGGGACAAAACGGGAACACAATTTTGACAACCTACCATTTAGCACCGTGTTAAACCGGGGGCTACAGTCTTGATGTTTTTTTTTGAATTTCCGTGTTAATTCCGAGCGCGTAACCTGCGCCGTGGCCAATTCAGGTGTCAAGGCCTTTCAGGTAAGTTGCCCGTGATCCGCTTTCTCCTACTTAGTTGCAGACATGGCTCGTGGCGCGTGGGTTCTGGCCATCGGATGCATGTGCATGTGGGCACTGAGCAGCCGAAGCTTCGTGAATGGACCCACCAAAGCTCGCGAAGTCTCCGTGGCCGCGGCTGCGGAAACCGCAGAGATGCCAGGCATCACCACAGACATGCCGGCGGAGAGGCCTGGCTACTACCCAGTGGGCAACTCCAAGCAGACCGCGCCCTACGGCGAGCGTGATCCTCTCCCTGAAGGCTGGTAGCAATAGGAATAAATAGTCATAAAGATCGTCTTTATAGATATGGTAATACCAATAGTAATATTAAAAGCATATAAAATGATAGTAATAGCAAGAGTAATAATACTATAATAGCCAATCCAGCGTGATCCGCTCCTTGAAGGTTATGGCATCCGCACTGGCCTGTCGGACCTCCTCAAGCCGTTGAACTCCGAGGCCGGCGTGGTGGCCAAGGACTGGGTTGCTGTTCAGGGTTTGGGGTTTAGGGCTTAAGGAACTGAATCTAAGGTATTATAATAAGGGTATATGGGGGGTAATTATTTTAGGGTATATAGGGCTGAAGGTTTGGGGTTAAGGCATTGAATTTAAGTTACTATGTTGGGGAAACCATATTAATTACCATATATACTCATTATGGAGTTCCTTAACAGCAACCCAGAGGAAGACAGCATCCCCACCGTGCTGGTGATGGTGACGGGCATCGTGATGCTCTTCTTGTTCTACTTGCTGCTCCTGCTGCTTGACAACCAGTCGGTGCTGCTGCCTCCTGAGGACGAGCTTCTGGGTCGCAGTCGGGATTGGACACCTTGAGGATCAGGTTCTGGTTTTAGACGTATGTTAATCATATCGTTCGAGGCAAGGATCTCTTCACTTTTAATACATGCGTGCTTAGAGAGATTTTCGGAGAACGACAGCTATGAACTGAATATCCTTGGCTAGGTGTGCACAATAGGACGAACATCAGTGTTTCCCCTTTCAGTTGCATAAGGCAACGGTCCAAGTACCAAATTAGGTATGTGGGATTTGCGATATGGTAGTTGCTGTACAGGTTCAGACCCTTAGGGTAACCTATCAACAAATCATTTTGCCTGCCTTCGGGGTACCACCCTTCTAGCAAAGCTTCAAACAAGGGGCTTTGAAGCGCTGCCTAGACGGAAGCACACTATCTATAGAGCTAGTCTGAGGATGACCTAGCAAGGCTGGTTATCCAAAACAACACGCTGATTCAAGTCAAAGTAGTGAGAAATTGTTCCTCGACCATAAACCTTAAACCCTAAATTCTAAACTGAAAAAATATGGGCAAGTGACCACCTAAGTCTTGCCTTCGCTCCCAGGTTACAACAATTTCATCATTAAAACATGTGAGCTATAGTCTAAACTCCTGAAAGGGGGTTATACTGGGGATTATAAAGAGGATTACCGTAGGGATTATTCAAGGGGATACTCGATTTGAAGCCTAAACCCTATAAACCCTATAATAAGGGTTATTCAGGGGGATACCAGGAGTTTAGACTATAGCTCATGCCTTGTTCTTCCCAGGTTCCCCGTAGAATTCATTATGCGGGTTGTGCTAGGACTAGGGAAAAGGGTTAAGGGTTTAGGGTTTAGGGTTCCAGGTTTGCAGTCATAGGACCATGAAAAATTAAATCACCAGGTACAGCCCTAAACCTCGTCCACCGCCTCTAGCTCTTTAATGATTGCAACCTATAATATAGTGCAGACTTACTGCAGCAGAGCCGCATGTGCAGGCTCATGGGCAGTAACAAGCGGATAAGATGTAGGATTGCCTCATGGGCTCCCCTATTACCCCCCAACCCCACACCCCCAAGGTTCCTTAACCCGAAACCCGAGGAAGGGGTAGTGGGCGATTGCATGATTGCTTGAACCATTCTGGAGGTTGCCTATGTAGCCCGTGGACCTGTGAGTAGCCGAAGGATTTAGGATTTAGCGTTTAGGTTTAAGGTTGAGGTGGCCCATTGGGGTTCAGCGCTAGAGTCGACAGCCGTTTATGCACGTGCTGGAGGTTTGAGATTTATGGGTTAGGTGGACCCAAGGATAATATCAGGGTCTTCTTATGGTCCTAGTTTGCCACTATGACAGGGTGGGGGGGGTTTTCCTAATTTATAGGGTTTATGGTGCAAGGTATAACCCTGTAATATCTTACAGCCTATTAGAATTGGTCGTATGTATACAATGTATACACTTTCCTAGCCTTAACTCCCCATGTATGTCAACCCTAAACCCTAAACCCACATTGAGGCCCAATGTAGGCCTGTAAGGTCTACACCCTAAACCCTACTTGGAAGGTCAGAGGGGATCAGGACATTGGTCAAGAATTGAGATGACTTTTTATGGCTTATAGGTGTTATAAGTTATAAGCATACTCACTAAGTCCCCCCACACTCCTAGTAACAGGTTATCCTACGCCTTAAGCTCGCCAATCTAGAAGGCAAGCCGTACCTGAGGTTTCCACCTCTCCAAATCAACCCTAAACCGAGATTCCCTAAACCCTACCCTAAACCGAGGTTTGACGAGTACGTGGCAAACTTCCTGCCTTACTTCTTCTTCGGTGAGAAGTGAGTATTCGAGTAGTTAGCAGATCAGCACTCCGACAACTCCGAAGGATTTGGGAGGATTTTAGGGTTTAGGGTCTAGTCTAGGAATCTTGGTATCTTCCTGATTAAGTAGTATGTTGCTATACCCTGAACCCTAAACCCCCTAGTCTAGGAATCACGGTAGCATTCTTTTTAAGTACCTTTGTAAGTATGGCCTAGTGCTTCGTACTAGCTGCTTGTGAAGAGTGCAGTCCCCCTTAAGTAGATAGAATATGGGGTATGGGTTATATGGCGTCACATCATTACATTAGGCAATTCCATATTCCATAGCTGCTTAAGGTGGACCATACAATGTTTATCTAGGTTTTCCTAGTGTTGAGGTGTCAAGAAGAGCTTGCCCTCAGCAAGCTCTGTGCGTTTAGTGACCGCTGCGGAGTTAGTGGGTTGCTGCTAAGAAACTCAGGTTAAGTTGCCATTCTGAAGCGAAGCAGAATTCGTCACTACATGTATATCTACACATATATACACTTATCATGGTGACTTGACTTCAGTTTCTTGACAACAATCCAGCTTAAGTGCCGCCAGATCCTGCTCGGGACTTTTTTGCAAAAACCGTTTGATTTTAGGCGTGGGTTTCAGGGGGAAGGCGGGGGTGGGGGCAGTGTGTCTACCTGAACATGGGTGAGGTTTGGTCACAATTTTTGAGACCTTCCTCAGTCTTTTAATCTAATGCTCCTATTCAGTCGTCCTCGTAGTAGGGGCTTCTCAAAGTGAATTTAAATGAGCCTAGACAGACACCCTATGCTTCCCTTATCACCCACGTGGATCAACTAGACATCAAAATGCAGTCCGTAAGTATTCAGACCCCTGTCACTCTCAACTCTAAGCCCTCAGCCCTAAACCCTAAACCCTATAGGGTTTAAGGTTTAGGGTTCAGGGTTTAGAGCCCTTAACCGGGTTGATTATTCAGACCCCTGTCGTTCTTGGGTTAGCAGCGGTTACTCTACGGATAAGCCTGGAGCTCCCTTAGCCTACTATTCTAGGGTTTACGGTTTAATGTGGGTTTATTGGGGTTATACTAGGTTTATATTGGGGTTATATTGGGACGAAAAGAACATGGAAACTACTGTTTATGGTTTGGGGATTAGGGTTTAGGGTTTAATGTAGACACATGACTAATAAACCCCCTCCTTTTAAGGGCCTAGATATTCGGATCTCTATTGTAATCCGTTTTAAGGGGAGGAGGTTTATTAATCAGGGGTCTGGGCTAGGGCTGCGCAATTCCAGGAGCCTCCCCATCTCGGATTAGTCAGCCCTATCCCTGGGTTTGGGGTTTAGACCCCTGAGCCTTCTTTAAAGCCTCTGAAGCTTTGAATCCTTTCCCAAACCTTGTCCCTGAGCCCAGAACCTTATCCTAGAACCTTATCTATCATAGTCAAGCCCCATCCCTAAACTGAGGTTCGGAGCTCAGAACCCCCTGCCCCTGGGCCGACAACCAAAACCCCTATCATGCCCTCAAAGCTCTTCAACCTTCCCTAAACCTTAAACCCTAACCCTAAACCCTAAACCATACAATCCCAGAGGCTGGCTCTTGCATCCTATGGCCCAAAGCTCTTGGCTCAAGGCCGCACGACGCGCCGCATGCCTCGCGCGCCTTGCGCGCCCCGCGGTGTTTGCCCATGGCCGACCTTAGCTTCAGGAAGCTTCTAAGTGCCTGGGCCTAGATAAGGGTTAAGGGTTTAGGGCATCTAGGCTTAACTACTACAATTACTACTATTAATACTACTATTACTATTACTACTGTGGAATTATTATTACTACTACTACTACTACTACTACTAGGCTGTAGGGCTGGAGGCTGGCATGCGAAGAGCTTACGGTCTAAGGGTCAGTCAGGATTTAGGGATACTAGCCCAACAATCTAGAATCACATCATTAGGAAGCTTTGAAGTGTCCGTGCATCCGCCCTATACAGCCTAAACCCTAAACCGCATTCCCTGAAGCTTCTAAGTGCCTGGGCCTGCACCCAAACTATGCAGGGGCCAAAATCAGGGTCAAGGGTTTAGGATTTAAGTTCAGGGTTTAGGGGTATGATCCCAACAGTGGAGCACATGAAAAAGATCATGGAAATGACATGGAAACTGGGTTGATATGGGCTTTATAGGTATAATTGCCAACACTAGGGCCCCGGGCTCCGTGCATAATTATGATACAGGGTACCTTGAATAGACTTCAGAGTGGAGTGATATTGGTAGTTACTTAGGTCCCTGCACTAAGTTACAAAGCTTTCCGCACCGAAGCTACTCAGGGTTTAGGGTTGTTCAGGGGCGTACCCTTCCCCGAATTAGCCTGGAACCGCATATGAGCTATAGTCTAAACTCCTTAAAGGCGGTTATATAGGGGATTATAACAGGGGTTATCAAGGAAGATTTTAGGCGTTTAGACTCTAGCTCATATAGCCGCCCTTTAGGATGACTATAGTCTTTACAGGGCCCTGTTGTTGATTTTTTCCATGGTGTTTAGGGTTCTAGACGAAGCGCAGGTAATGTTTTTGACGGTGGTAGGGAGAGCATGAAAGCTCCAGGGTGGTTAGGACATAGTAGAGTCCTTCGCTTCAGATCCGGGCGCTTTTCAGGGGGTTAGGGTTCAGGATTTGAACATGTCATGAGTTCATTCTTTGGGGGCTTGCAGAAGCGGACCCCAATTCGAGAACACAATTGTGGAGTCACCCTAAACCCTAAACCCTAACGCTTTTGCTGATGTGAACCCAAAGATTTGACTCATCAAGCCCAATGGTTTAACTTCAGCAACCCTAAGCCTACGCGGTTTAAGGTTTAGGGTTTAGGGTTAGGGCTTATGGTTAGGGTTTGCGACGCTAAGCCTAGAGCCCAAAGTACTCAAACACATTGGTACTCGACCCCCAAAACAGGGGAAACGAGGTAATTTCCTAGAGGCCTGATGCTTACTAACGTATGCCCATACACATCTACGTAATTATATATATGTATATAGAGGGCACTCGTTTTTTCTTGGTGTGCCTGCCTAGCTTGACTTGCATCAGGTGTGGACAGCGAAGATTCAGCCGAGGATGCTGACGCTGAGGAGCCTAGTCAACCCGCACATAATTAATCGCCACTGGGGACTCCTATAAACCCTGCATATCCTGAGGGTTCCTAAACGTTCACCGTTTTTTGAGAACCCCCCCCCCTTCTCTTCTTTCTTCCTGTCAGCACCATCCCCTCGCTAATATTTGACACCTCCCGCCCCCTAATTTTTCTCGGTATACATGGTACTGGGGGTGTGGTACAAGGCGTGGTGATACGCAGCTTCCACTTGTCATGGTTATACTTGTTGTCCTCGTCATTGGTTCCTGCGCGCCACTGGTGGCGAGCGAATAGACCCTGGACACTATCGCGCTCTCAGATTTCTACTGCTGCTATTACATGCTCCCATCGCTACGACTGAAGAACGAAATAAAGGGCGGGGGCAAGCAGTTTAGGGTTAGGGCAGGCCCTGAACCTCTAAACCCGCGAACTTAGATGGGAGTTTCATAAATAGGCCGCTCAAATTGGACCCCAACATGCTACAGCCTAAGGCCTCAAGTCCTGCTTCGGCTGACCACCCCACCCCCCCCCCTCCAAAAAAAAAAGCATTCACTTTCGGACACACCAAACACATCCACCACTCCAAAACAAAATCTTTCAGGAGGTCCAGTTGCAGGGCTTCGTGCCACCCCTGCTGGTTGACACGCAGAGATGCACCATGGTCATTATCATGCCTCGATCCTGGGCTTCGTATATTGGATTTAGGGTTCAACGAAGTTAGGCTTCTTGTGTTCTTTAAGTTCGGGGTTTAATAGGTAGTCTAGGGCTCAGGTGTAGGGGTGCGCGGTTCAACCTTTTTTCATCGCCTTGCTGCAAACAAAAGCCATTTGCATCAAAAAAATACGCAATCGTTCTTTTCCAGAAGAGAGAATCCTAGGTCATAAATCCACCAGAGCCCCTGAACCTTAAATCTATCATGCACCCATAGCTTCAATCCCAGGAAACAAGAACACTGGCGGTGCAGTGGACCACCACGAAGTGGTGGAACAACCTTACGCCAAGGCCTGCGAGCAGCTATAAGTGGAGTCGAAAGTAGGACAACCATACGATTGAGGGTTTATGGTTTGAGGTTGGCGCATCAGTGCAATTCCTAGGTTCATACACACCTGAAACCTAGTCCCTCAAGCCTAGAAGCTCTAACCGCACTTTCTAAACACAGGGGAGTGATACCTTGCTGTTCGCAGCAAGGAAGGAATGATCCCGTGCAGTATCAGGAGCCCCATATACAATCCCCAATGGCAAAATTTATATTCCTTGATTCTCTACTGGCAACCAGAAGGCAAAACTTTGAGCCTGAGCCCTCAGCCCTACGCCCCAAGCCCTAAACCGTCCTACTCCTCCTACATAATATGAGCCATCGTCTAAACTCCTTAAAGGGGGGTTATATAGGGGGTTCTATAGGGGAGTATTATAGGGGCTTATTAGGGGGGATACTAGGAGTTTAGACTATAGCTCATAGGGTTCCCTACCCAAGAACCTTCAATCTTCGCCAAGGCAAAGAGGATATTTGACATGCCCAACAACCTGAACAGCTGCGGGGCTCCAGTGATTGTGATGTGAAGGTTCAGAATTGAAGGGCCTGACTTACACCCTGAACCCTAAACCCAAGTAAATAGGGAGTAAGGGAATATAATCCCTATTCATTCCCCATACAATTTCGTCCTTTGTTCCCTGCCAACCCTCAGAGATGAGGCTTTAGGGGTTAAAGTTCTAGGTTTCTAGGTTTAGGTTTCAGCGTTTAGGGGGGTTGTAGCATGTGAGCAGTGGGGATTGAGAGTGAATAGTAGCTTAAACTTTAAACCCTAAACCCTGACCATGAGGCTTGTATGGACGGCTATAGGGATCCGTTCTGCCATCCCCTGCTACCCACCAGCAAGGTTTCGGCTGAGTCGGTGGCTCTTAAAATGAGCTAGAATCTAAACTCCTTAAAGGGGGTTATATAGGGAATACTATGGGGGTTATTGACTGGAATACTAGAAGTTTAGATTACAGCTCAAATATACCCCGAAAAGGGAATACTGCAATTGTTTTGCTGCGGTGTTTGCGATGCGAATGCTCAGGCTACCAAACTCTTTCCAAATTGGAGCACATTAAGCAGACCGAAGCCTCCATGAACATGGAGCTCTACCAGGCTTGCTAGTTACGATTTGGAGATTTCTCAGGCCCCATATGCCTTATGGCTTAAACCCTCACCATGAAGCCTTCTTGGACACCTTTACGGTTGTAGACAGGCCTGCTGATGTCATGTTGAGCTTTGGATATCTTTTGTGATCACGGTTGGTTCAGGATTGCAACTAACTGCACACAGGGTTATCAGCAGGTCCTGTAACCACTATCCAAACTAGGGTTTTTTTCTGACGGAGTCAAGGGTTTAGGGAAGACTGTAACTTACACGTTGCATATACGTCATGGGATCTGTCACTCAGACTCAGATGGTCTTTCTGGCGCGGCGCAAAGGAAGCCGGCCTATACTCGGCGAAGTATGCTTGTGCACCCCAGAGCTTTCGCCTTCTCTGTCAAAACCCTATTTACGTAGGCCCTATATTCAAAGGACAGGAACCTTGATGAGGGTTTTCTAAGGGATGATAATGCCCCATCCCCTTCCCAAAGGTACACCCCAGGTCCCAACTAGCTAAGAAGGATTATATGAGGCTTCATAAACCCCAATAGGAATCCCAAATCTGGCCATTTGTGGCAAAAAGCAAATGATACCTACATTGGGCACTAAAGTCTGTAAATAGCACCTACATCCGGCTATTCGGAGCCTTGGTGTAAGTTTTTCCATCACGATGTCACCCACAGGATCTTCTTTGCTTCAAACGGATATGCGCCGAAAGAAAGATTGATTTAAGGTTGAGGGTTTGGGCCTAGGTTACATGTGTATGTGTATATATATATATAAGTATATACAGATATATATATATA